AAATGTATAAATATAAGCTTCTCTGGCAGCTATTTCTTTTTTTTCTCCCCATTCTCCTCTGTCAGTAAAGATTAGATATATTTTATTTACTGTGGGAATGGCTATTAGTTGATATAATATTTTTTTGTGGGCAGCAGTTAAAATAAGATCTCCTGGATATGTTCTCAGATCTTGAACTGCAGGCATGTACTGCTCTCATTCCTGTTTCATATTTCTCTGGGGAAAAAACCCCAAACAACTGTAGAGGTGGTTGCCAAGGCCTAGAGTGGTTCCTCTGTATGCGCAGGTTTTTATATGGATTTACTTAAGCAGTTATAAAGTCCAGGGCCGCTAAGTCAATGTAACAGGAAAGATAGGTTGGGTTTTTTTTTCTTAGTTTATTTCCATATATTGTTGGACCAGCTAACACTCTGGTGTGTCACTACTTTGAACTATGTTAATTTTTGTACTGGTTCAGTTATGTAAACTGGCTGAAATGCTTTGACTTGACCTCCCTTGCCAAGGCAATCTATTACACTCCAGTCTACAGGCAAAACTGCACCTCTCCTCCCACGGTATCAGTTAATATAAATAACTGCAAGGATCACTCTGAAAGTTTGGCTGTTTACCTGCCAAACCCAACTTAATTGGTATTCATGGTGAATCTCAAACATAGCTCAAAGACATCACTCAGTGAGCCCTTYCTGCACAGCTGATGGWCTGTAATTAAACMACACCAAGCCACAGGTTTCTGCATCAACCATTCCCTGCCAATAAGGAAAAGGAAACTAAGGCAGGCAGCTCACTTCAAGAGGTAAGAACAGGCATGATTGAAGGCATTACTCCTGTAACTTGCTTGGCTCTGCCAAGAATGGTAAATATGAAGTCTGGTATTTTTTTCTCCCTCCGTTTTTATCCCTGTGTATTGCTCCATTTGAWGAAGCAGAAAGGGCTATGTCAGCCCCGGGTAGAGTAATCCAGTAGTTGGTAGTTAATAGCTGTGAAGGAATTTGGAAGAACTGGTTTCAATTCTTTGACAGTTGATTCCTTGCGTGTATAAATGTTTATTGCCTCTGGCCATCATCTGTAAAAGGAGGCTAATGCCTCACAGCAGGGCTAAAGGATGAAGCTGTTCARGCTGTGAAATTCTGAAAGGTTCTGATTGATTTCAGTCCCCAAAATGGGCCATGTTTAATGTGATAAGTACATAACCTTAAGTTTCTGAAAAGGTTTATTGTGTTTCCTGGAACAAAGAGGTTCAGTTGCYGTTTTGTTGGTTTGGGCTCACAAGGTGGAAATGTTTAACCTGTGGCATGGKCTGTGGCATCCACATAGGTGGTCCTTCTTTTACCTGAGAAAGAGTGAATAAAGCATGTTCCTAGCTTAGAGCTAGCAGTGACCAGGCTCCCATCTGTCTGCTCAGTCACTACAAAGGAGTCCAGTAATAACATACACTTATTTCCTCTGTTTACGCAGTTTACCAGCGTTCTGGAGATACTGTAAATAAGGAGTATTTTATTAGTAAATATTACTTYATCTTTACAAAGAAAAGCACCAATAAAGAAAAAGTAAAGAAGGCCTGGTAAGCTAAAATAAAGAAGAAATCAGGGTACAAAAAAGACATTAAACCCATTTATAATATTTAGAGCTTCAGCGGCTTAAGTAGAAACACCAACACGCTTAGCTTTTCAATCTGATGAAAGCCGTGGGCTTAAAAGCTGTCTTGAYCACCAAGATGGGGAGTGAACTGCTGTCAGACAGGATGACAGCTACAGAAGAAGTAACACAAGAAAACATGCCCAGTGTGAAAATGGGCTGATGACAAGTGAAGATGGTCAGCACAGCTGGAGGGAGGACAGCGCTCTAAGAGCAGAGAGACAAAAAAAAAAAGGTGATGAGTAAGAGTAAACTTGACCCATGGGGATATTTTGGCTGACAAAGCTGTCTCAGAGTGAATTGGGTGGGTGTAGCTGCCCAGCTGGCTGGATCCTGAACCCCTGGCCAGCTATTTTGTACTCAACCACTGGCTCCTCCCAYGTAAAGAAGTCTTTGGGCTAGCTGGACTGACTGTCCTGGACAGGATGTATGAGAGAGGATGCAGTTCAGCACTGGGTATCTTTCCAAAACAGGGACAGGAAAAAGAAAAACAAAACAACAAAACCACAAAGTGCCAAACAAACAGAATAATGCAAGTTCTTCTGTGATACCAGTTCTAGGTGGTTTGGGCTTCACTTGCCTGTTCAAAGTTTGCCCTGTCTAAAGCTGATTACAGCCCCTGCTGCTCAGAAACACATAGAATATAGCTAATTTATTTGATTTTTTGGCCCCAGAGCTATTTTGGAACTGGAAATAAGCTGTTAGGCTCTAAATTCCCATTAACCTCATCAGAGAGAGGGTTACTTTGTGCTGAACACCAGTCATATGCTGAGTGTAAATATTAGCATTACCTTTACCTTTGGAAGAAAAGCAAAAGTGAAAGTAGCAGTGCAGTAAAAGCACAGCTTGTAGTTCCATGCCTTAGCACACAGAAAGGTAATGTTACATTAAGTGCTGCTTAATTAAGAATAATTCGACTGTRCATTGTTAATCTGTTCATAATTTATGGGCTACTTTTTCCATTTACAAGCACCTTTTTGTACTTCACCACCGCAGGTGATATTCTCTGTCAGTTTTGCAGTGCCCATTACCTGGCACCTAAGGCATTTCATTAGCATTTAAACGAGACTTAAGTGCCTGAGTAATTCTGAGATAGGCTGTATCTGCATGGCTAGCTAACTACTGCATGGAATTAATTTCCAGACTTCTTCCTTCCTTGTTCAGAGGGAAAAATGCAAGCTCTGTCTAAAATCCGGTAGTGGTAGGAAGAACAGGCATGCCACAGTTCTAGCTGCTGCTGAGGTTTCTTGCTCAACTTACTATCTCTAATTTCACTATTCATCTTTAATGAAAAGCTTTTTCTCAAAGAGGAGAATATTTGAAAAGTGACCAAGAATGGAGAGATCTTGAACTAATGAGCTGTCTCTGTTTCTGTGGCCTGCCTCTGGAGGCAAAGGAAAACAGATTCATTTGTCACAGACTGATCACACCACAGCGAAGTGATGACGGACTTAAAGATGAGGCTGCCAGCTTTGAGCTGGGAGTGGCACTGGCCTTGGTGCAATGGGGTGGGTATGGAGCAGATTGCATGCAGACTTGCCAGGAGTGAAAGCTGCTGCAACACCAACCAGCAAAAGTCCCTCTGCAAGTTGTTCTTCAGTCATGATGAATTAATGTAATACTGTCTTGAGATGCTGCATGTGTGAGCTACTCCTCCAACAGGAAAAGTTGAAGGCTTTGGGAGAACTGCAGTGGAAAAGGATGTTTTTCACTAATGTGGTAAAGTGCATAATCAAGCAGGACCACTGGCTGTGTGCTCTGGTGAGCTGAGAGCAAATTGCTACTCAAGCAGTCAGCACAGGGACACACTGACACTGGAGATATCACATGAGTCAYGCTGGAGAGTCGGATCCTAGAGCTTCTTCTGCTCTGATAAATAAAACAGCTTGAGAGTGACCTATAGCCCTTGTGACACAATGCAAAATCCCTGTATTGGGTAATTTTTACCTCCAAGAATTAAAATCATGTGAGAGTCTATTTGGGTAACAGGGATTTTTAGTTTTGCCTGATTGGAGAGACTTAATGGGAAAAGAGCAGACTAAAGAAGATTTCCAAAACAGTGGTTTGGCTACAGTGGTAGTGGGGATTTAGATGCCTTTCTTTCTGAGATGCTCTTTGAGGTGCATTTGTCCTAGTTACGGCAAGTGAGAAGACACACAGCTCAGTGGGATACTGTTAAAATCTCCTTGTTAAGGTTCACTGAGCCAGGGCTCAGAGGACTAGACAGGCTCTAGTCAGGCTCTGCCTTCATGCACACCCAGGCTCGTAGGGCATGGATGTCCAAATCCAGCATCAGCTCCTGCCTGAGGGCTCCCACTCGGGATAGCCTGTGMGGGCAGTGGGCACAGCAGGGCCAAACTCAGGCTCAAGGTGTGTGCTGTGCTGGATGGTGATAAATAAGAATTTAAAGCTGTCTTCTGCACTTCTTTTCCACAGTAAATCCATTCTTGAAGAGGGGATTCCAGTCCTTTCAATTGTTCTGATAACGGTACCGTCAACTAGATGCACATTTCTTTCACAGCCATTTTTACTTGTAATGACCTCTTATCGCCTGTGAAGTTTGGCAGGAACCTCAAGCCTCACCAAGCCGTGAGGGGCAGCTGAAAGTGACTCGGAAGTGCTGCTGTTCCATGTTTGCCGTGCTCCTGCGGGTCTCAAGGCAGTGGCAGTGGCTGGCGCTGGCAGGCCCAGCGGTGCTCTCCCATCCCGCCTGYCCCGCTCCGGCTTCGTGGATTCCCGACTGGACAGCCTCCGTGCTAAATCCTGTAACAATCTGATCAAACGCCACCTTAGAACCTGGTTCATTTCATGCACCCACTCCTACGGCGAGGCTSTGCCAGGAACCTTAATTTCTGGCGGATCCCTTTTAATTTCGGAGCCGAATTTATGCGTGGCTACCCTGTACCTGTTTGTTCTTGTGCCAGCCTTATCTGTTAGGTCGAAAAGCTCTTCTGCCTCGCTGCCATTCCCTCACTTTGATGTCCTCAGGGGGCGAGTACATCCCTGTTATTCCTCACGCTACTCCACATTAAATCAAAGTCCCATTTTCCGCAGGGTCTCCCGCTCCTTTTCAGACTGCCCCTTCCCTCAGGATGGGAGCCGGAGCGGCACAATGCCAGCGGCCCCTTCCCGCTCGCCCTTGCGCCTCACAGGTGCTCCTGGAGCTGCGTTAAATCAAAGCGCAGAGAAAGTCAGCGTTTCCCTGTTAAAAACAAAACAAAGTAAAAACAAACGCAACATAGACGGCAAACCTGGGCACCGCGCGGGCTCGCCGCCCCTGAGCCTTTGCGGCGCCTGTCCCGTGGCAGCCGGGCAGGGCWGGGCCGGGCCGGGCCGGGCCAGGSCAGGGGAGGAGCGGCKGCAGACGGAAGTGAAAACAAGAGCGGGGGGACGGAGCTGCCGCCTCCAGACGCGCCGCGGTGTCCTCGCCTCTCCGCGCTGTGCCGGGTGAGTGCCGCGCCGCCAGAGAGCGAAAAGAAAAAAAAAAAATAATAAGGGGGGGATTTGGGCAAAAAGTCAGTAGGCTGGGCGCGGTTTGTAATGCTCCTCGGTGCTTATTTTCTTCTAATTTAACTTCTGTAAGCGGGGCGCGGTGATTGTCGCGGTTGTGGAGAGCCCGGCCGGGGTGCCGGGGTGCGGCGGGGGCGCGGCGCGGCCCCGGGGCAGCGGCTCGGGGAGCCGGGGCTGCGGGACACCTGCGGGGGGCTCCTCGCCCTCAGCCCAGCGCTGCCGTGCCCGTAGGGCTGCTCGGACACGGGGCTCCGGTGTGCCCCCTGCCCGGGCTCGGTGGGTACCCGTGGGGCTGCACGCCGGCTGTCCCTGCAGTGCCTGGGACTGTGGGGGCGCCCGGAGCCGGGACCGAGCGCTCCTRGGGGTGTCTGGTCCCCAGCCTGCGGGGGCCGTGGGGGGCCGTGGGGCTCCTCGTCCCGGGGAGATGGGCACAGGGGTGCCGGGTGTACGGGGAGCTTTGCTGGCGCTGCCCGCACCCCCTCCTCCGGCACAGCAGCAAGGCCCCGCTGGCCGCTGCGGGGCTCTGTGCCCGGGCCGGCGTTCCTGCCGGGATTTGAAATTCCCCCTTCCAGACGCAAGTCCACCAAGCGTTTGATCGTCTAAAGGAAAGTTGCACAATTTCACCCTTAGCTGGTTTGTTTGCACAATGATCCCCACGTGAAGAGAGTTTGGTGGTTTGCAGTGCTTTCCTTTAGCTGTTGCTCTRGCACATTTTATGAAATTTAAATTTAAGAAATTTGTTAAGTAAAACTTTGGACGGGTCTTTTTTGTCTGCCGTTCTTTCCTGGTGTATCTGCCAGGCTAGAGATGCAGCTGTATAAGAATTAAGGGGGTGAGAAAGGAAAGATGAGTGATGCTGAATGGGATACAGGGTATTTCAGCGTGCTGTCTCTTCCCTCCTATTTCTAGTTGCTACAGTTGAAAAAGAACGGTATAATTTCCTAATACAACTTAATCTTTTTCCTAGGTCTGTAGTTGTAACTATCTATTGCTCAGTTGAAAAAAAAAAAAAAAGTTACACAAGTGCTTTAGTTTCAATTGACAGGTACAGCCTTCTCGCCTGTATGGAACAACTGCATCGTGTGCTGGTCACTAGATGTGGTTTGCTTTTCTGCAGTCTCATACAGTGACCTGTCACTGCAGTGGATTTTAAGTGGGAGTAAAAAGAATTTGTATTTTTATGCAGAAGGAAATCTGTGACTAATTCAGATCCTCTTTTTAAAAGAATTCTGTGCACAGGGCAATTAAACGGCTTAGTTCTCGCTTTAGTGGTGAGCAAGCCCTCTAAGAATTCTAGCTCCAGCTTGGCGGGGGCTTTTCTTCCTCTTCAGCTACAGGAGAGCTCAGTCTTGTGTGTTTCCCCTTCTGTATATTGGTGCCTGTTGAGGCTTTTAAGGGTGGGTTGAGTCAGTGCCTGGGGTCAGAGCTGCCCCTTTGCTGGATGCCAGCAGGCAGGGGCAGGTTGGGAATGGCCCAGTTACCCAGGCACCTCTGTTGCAAGCTCCAAATTCTGCTTCTTTATATATATATATATATATATATATACCTTGTGCTGCCTAATGCCGGTAGCCCTGCTCTGGTTACCTGAGTGAAGAAAGTTCATTGATTTAGAAGTGAGTCTGAGCAATGGATCTCTGCTTCTATGGGAGGTGAGCCCAGAAACGTGGCTTTCTTGCGGAGTAACATCCCTGCACTGATGGGGGCTGTGCGACAGCCCTGCTCTCACGTTCCTTGTGGGTGAGATGCATTTGAAAAAATACACCGCCCCCAAGAAAATAACACGGCCCCCCTGCGGTGTATGAACAGCTAAAACCGGGCTTTTCAGAGTTCCGYGGGGTTTGCAGCCGGCTGGCTGAAGGTCCACCTTAAATGTCCCTATATGAGTATGGAATCTGGCTGTGCCCCGGTGTAGTCTTACACCAGCCCGCCCTGGTGTGCTCCTGCCGCGCTTCAACTATACAAAAATAGACGGCATCCACTACCTAAGATGTCATTGTAACATTACTTATCTGAGGTGGAAYTGAAGCCCTTATCTTTGACGCTGAACAGCACTTAAGTATCTCAGTTGCCTTTTAAAGGTAATTTGTTGCCYACATATGTGGAGAGGGCGATGCTTGGGTTTTGCTTTCTCAGCATTGAGTTGTGGCTGTGGATATTTTGCTTCAGTTCACAGCTTTCATTATGAGGGCTGGTTTTAATATCTGTCTCGTCTGTGACATTGTTCTGCCACTATGAAGCTAAGCTTTAAAAATAAAAAGAGTCAAAGGGATTTTATTTTCTTYTGATTAACTGCAAAGTTGTGATGCTTTGACATGGTTGTGTTTAGAAATAAGCTTTGAGCTGATGACATGGCAGCATATGATATTCATTTTGTTAGAAATGAATATGCCAGTAGTGCTAATGTCTTGGGTTTAAAGGATACTATGAATTCATGCTTGTCTCAACATTGACTTTTTTAATATGAGCTTTAATGTTGGGTGGTTTTACCTCCCCTGCCCCACACGGTGTTTTGTTAGTAAAAGTAGTTGTCAAACATATTGGCAGCTTGGACAGCAGCAGCTCTCCAAGTCCCAAGTCCGTRTTACCCATTCCCTAGTTATGCTTCTTCCTAAGCTATGGAAGGAAACAACATATGAGGACTAGAAACAAAAGTCATGACAGACCTGGTGTGGGCTTTTTGGCTGTTTTGCGGGGAGGGGAAATGCAGCCAAAGAAAGAAGACTTTTAAATGTTTTATAATCTTTAAGTTAAATCTCTAATCCTCTTCTGCAGGCATCAGTTCTTTGGATTTGGTCCTTGAATACTAAACATCATGAGCAACTACAGCGTGTCTTTGGTCGGGCCGGCTCCCTGGGGTTTCAGGCTTCAAGGGGGCAAGGATTTCAATGTGCCTCTGTCTATTTCTCGAGTAAGTGCATTTGCTTCTTTTCCTGTATATGGGGATCTGTTATGCTGTGGTCAACCCACAAACTTCAGACAAAGCCATTAATTACAGATACTGGGGCTCAGCTTGCCCTGTGGCATGGAGGACTGTTGGGGGTCGGGGAGGGAAGGTCAGAGCCAGGAAAATAAATCTTTATTATGTGACGGCTCCAAGAAAATTAGCTTAGGAAGGACTTATTCATTTGAAATGATTGTTTTATCTGCATTTGTTTATTCAAATAACAAAAGAAACTACCCTTGAATTCCCTTCCCTGCTTCCATCYAGAAAACAGAGATGCAGAGGTTGGAGGCTGACAGGAAGCAAGCAATTTACTTTGCAGGGCTGAGCCTGTGCAATTCAAATGGGAAGCAGTGGGGAAAAATCACTCATGTTACCCTTGTTTATTCAGCAGCTCTTAGCAGCTTGAGGATCACCAGAATCTTCTGGTGTCTGTTATTATAAATCTTGCAATTTGCAATAAGAAGATACTTAAATGACAGTTGTTATAAATAGCATTCATCAATATGTGCCTGAGTGAACATGCCAGTTTCTCATGAGTGTTTTATCGAGTATGTGCTCTGAACTGGTATTCAAAGGATTTGAGGAACTAAGTCAAAACAAATATGATCTTTGTACCCAGCACTGTCTAACTAGTTTCCTACTTTAAAACTGTGTTTCAGGGAAGGCTTGTCTTTCAGTGTGGGCTGAGTTTTAATGCCTTTCTCASATGGCTAAAGCACTTTGCACATAAAATGTAGGGACAAACTTCACAGTATTGAATTTCTAGGATCACTGGAAATCTCTGGGTGAAGAGACTGACTTGATGGCTCTGTACCCTGACACCTTTAAATCTGATTAGCCATCTGGAATCATTTATATACAAATGGASTCTTCTCTGTCAACATCTCTCCTCTCCCTCCTGCATTTTCATGGAGTTTAGTGACAAAGATGAATTATTTTTTACACCTGTTGAGACTGCAGAATTGATACTGCCCTGGGAGATGGAGCAGGTTTCTATTTGGGTTTATGCATCATGGTGRTATTTTTAGCTAATCTTAACTAGTGTTTCAAACCCTTCCAGTTCATTTAGTCTTGGCTTATCCTATCCACTGGTGGATTATGCTGGTGAAATTAAAGGACAGTTAGGCTCTGAAAAATTCTTTATATATGGCTAAAATAGACTGGAGAGCTGCAGAAATGCTGGTGTACTGATTAGACTGTTGACATCTGAGACAAGAAGAAGTTGGGAGACAGTTTATTCCTGAATTCCAAGGACTTTAAAGCGGAACTGTAGTTCAGTTTCTTGTTCATTAGCTGGTTATTTGTACACTAATGAAAAATTTGAACTGGGGATGTGGATAGCACTTACTGATTTGGTGGTACAAGGGCTTTCGTGACAAGGATTTACAAAAGCACTGGAGTTTGCCTGCATAGGGTCCTTGTGCGTGATACTGAAGTGTATTTAAGCTCTATAGGCAGTAAGCCATGCTAAACAACCAGTTTCAGGCAAGGGTAATACTTTTTTTGTAGACTCTGTTATTCTGGAGATCTAGAGTGCAGTCCTGCTGTAAGCAGGCTTCCCATCTAAAAGAGGAAACATATGTTGGAATTAGCCTAGACTACAACTTTATTGCAGGAATCAAATACGCTGTCGCACGGAGTAGCCTGGAGGAGTTGGCCTAAATAGCTACCTATAAAAGCCTCTGTTATGGGATTCCCTAATGACAAATGTCAGTGCCCACAAGAGCAGAGCATAATGAAAGATAGGGACTGGTGTGGTTTTTGAACTTTAATTTGTGCATGGCTGGGGGAGGCACAATCTCCGCTTTGCCTGTTATACCTGAGCACCACTCCTCAGCTGAGCTGTTTCTTCCTACTTGCAGTTAAGAGTGTGCAAGTATTTGACTGCCTGGTGCCTTTTTGTTTCCCCCCCTCCCTCCTCTGGATAAAAAAAATGCTTCGTTCTGGTATGCCAATCCGGCTTTGGCCCGATAGTTTTTACTGGAAGAATTCAACACCCGTGTTCCTGGTATGCTAGAACAGCATGTACAATTCACCCCCCAAGCCCTTCTTTTCCTGACGTAGCATAAATTCCTTCCTGTGTCTAAAGGCCGCTAATTAAATTATTTTAGCAAAACAGTAATGAGACAGCATAATTATGTTCCTTGGCAAGGAGGACTATTTGGTTTTGTTTTGTTTTTAATTTGTCCTCTAGATGCTGAAGATGAATGCTGGGCTGCTGAGGGCTAATTTCCTGCTTAAGTTTAAACTTGTTGAAATTAAGTTTAAATAAAGTGTAGTCTATGAAGCACAGAAAATAYAGTGGTTTCTAAGGCTGTTTATCTGAAAAGTTGATCTCTTCACTAATGATTTGAACAAATTAAGATCTCACAGTTCCTTGGAGAAAGTTTTTACTAAGTTTTTACAGGATATGGTTAAAATGGGCATATTCCTTGTTGCCTCTGTGGGGTAAAATGAGCCTGTTTTGAGTCCTTCCATTGAAATTCTTGTGGTGAGCTAAGGTTAACATTAGTACAGGGGTAGCATTTGATTTTTCATAAACGAGTACATTGCAGAGTAGTTGCAACATCATAACCAATAGCAGTGGTTATTGCAGGGTTGTATCAGTTGCTTTATACAGCTGAATGCTGTAAAGTTGGTATGTATAGTTATACAGCTGTACACATTTCATGGTGAGTAATAAATGCCATGTTGGGGTTACTGTGATGTGAATATTAGTTCATATATCAGTACAAATATGTACTGTATATACACATAGTAACATACATGACACATATACATTTAGGATATATGTCCATACAACACAAATGCTTGCAGAACTTGTTATGTGAACTTGTATCTGGCTGGACTTCAACAGGGTGGCTTTTCCCAGTCTTCTTCCTTGCTTTGTGAAGGCACTTGTGAGGCCTTTCACAGGTCAGGAATTTAACACCGGGAAGCTGATGCAGGGTGGGAGCAGTGATGGGTGGTATGGTTCACATGAAGAAAGGGCCTGTGGGAAGGAAKTTGCTCTGCAAGTAATAATGAATAAAGGGTGGGTTGAGGTTTATTGACAGCCAAGTGTGAAAGTGGCTCAGGCTGCCATATGGAGCTGTACTGCAGGGCTTCCAGGTAGTTAATTCTGAGGGGGCACTTGTGTAACCAGAGAYTGCAAACAGTGAGCAATCAGCCYGCAGTGAAGAAGGCAGAAATTACTWGAGCCCAGGTGTGCAAACTTAGATTTTTCTGAGTTGCTGTTATGACTGTTTCCTCATGKTGGTTTACATTAATTAAGCAACTGTTCTCCTTATTCCTTCAAGACCTATGCTATGATGCAAAAATAAAAAAATGGAAAGCTAGAGGATATGAGGACAAAATTTGTTTGTGCAAGAATTTGTTCTCATTCAGTAAAAGGAACAAATGCAGTTTTGGAAATAAAACCAACCTACTGCTACTCCAACATACTGCTAGGTARGATTAATGAAGTGGCTCTTGGGCATGTTAAACATTATAGTTACAGAATTTGGAGTTAATCGTATTTACAATATGATCTATTTAGGTTATACCTGTTTAGGTGCAACACAGTTGCTTTACAACTATCCATACATTTTTAGACTTTGAATTAACATTACATTTGCTTTACTTTTTTGGAAGCTGGTTAGTTTCCCATGCTTCATTAATGTAACCAGAATAATCTCAGTAAGTATGACTAAGCATTGACATTAGAACTGTCAAAACTGCTGTCTTCTGCAGATTAAAATAGTGTTTGGTGTTGATGATGTATTCATTATGTTGGGATGACCTGTGAGAGGTTTGTATACTYGTTCCAAGTGTGTGCTTGACATGATAGTAGCTTATCAAAATTTTTGTGATGTAGTTTCTAAAAGATGTTTCTTTCTGTTTTATACAATATTTACTGCTGGAAACAAGGAAATACTCAAGCAAAACTATAGTTTGAAGAGTAATGCAGTATATAGGTAGTATATACCTATTCCACCTAATGTGTTCCACCTAATGCAAATACATTGGATGTTTTTCTGTATTTAAAAGTTACTTGTTTGTTGATTCCTGGTGGCAACTTTAGCTATTGTCTTTCAGAAGATGTGTCACTTTTTGTTTTTCTCTTGCTGCAAGGAATTAAATGGAATACAGTCATGCTGAAATGCTTGACCTGACTGACAGCTCTGTTTTTCTAYTGCAGCTTCTTTCAGTGTGTTTCCCACACTGCCAGCTTCTTTCTGCTTCACTGATCACTTCAAATTGCCCAAAACAAACAAACACCACTCCCCCCTCAGAAATAACCCCTTGGTGTTACAGTTTTTTTTGGTTTTCATTATTTCTGCTGGTTCAGGGATGYTTTTCTGTGTTGGAGTTGCAAGCTTCAAGTTGATGGGAGACTCATGATAATAAATCTGTTTGCAAGAAGTACACTCAAGGGGGAAGTGGAAGAGCACCCACCTTGGGATGAAGTAGGGAGTGCACAAGTRCAACACATCAGCTGCTCAGTGTTCATCCCACATAAGCATCCTGACATTGATTATGCTGGTGTTGGGAGGTCATTAGTGACTGTGAAAATACTGAGAAGACAATAAAGGAAAATARTGTTTTGAGTGGACCTAGAGCATGTCAGCTTTGACTGATTAGGGTCTAGCTAAGCCTCTTGTCCTTGTGTTTGTGTGAATTGTTTTATTAAACTGTACATGTAATTTCCAGTAAAACCAAGTTTTGTGTAAGTATAAAATAAATTATGTTCATGGAGTGTTGGGAAAATTGTCTTTCAAGCAGGTATGTGAATAGGAGAGGAACATTAGAACTGCTGGCCTGGCCAGTGATAATTGTGTCAGTAACTTTATGCTTCATCCTGGAAGCTACTGAGAGCTCCTAACTAAGCCCTAACTGGCAGCTGCTGGCATTGCTGTGCTGGGTTGATTTGTTGGGATGGTTTGCACAAAATACAGCTGGAGRTGCACTCCCCTACTGCCACA